TTATTTAGTTTTTAGTTTATTTCTGTTCATTTGTTCATGCTGAACTTATTTGACTCAGCTTAGTATGTCTGGCCTACAAATGTTGCTATTTGTTATGCTAGCAATAAAGTTGCATACTTCAATCCAAAGTTCATAGGGACTCAGAGCGAGTCGAATGATAAATCAACAGTCTATTGACTTCCAAATTCAAAATCACAACCAGGACTTATTATCTTCAGTTCCTTAACTTTCTTATCTCTGAAAGGGAGCATGTGTCAAAATCTTATCTGGGAAGCCGAAGCTTGAGGATAGTAGAGCAACGAAGCAAGTTGTGGCCCTTCTTAGTGCTCCACTCGATAAATATGATGACATTGTCACAGCTCTTACACTTTCTAATTATCCTCGCGTGATGGATCACCTTGATGCCAGGACAAACAAAGTTATGGCAATGGTTATAATCCGAAGCATTATGAAGAACAGCACCTGTGTTTCAACTTCTGACAAGGTATATTCCTCTCCAATTTCTTTTGTTTCTTGGTTGACCTCCAATAAATATGATAAAGCGTTTTGCAGGTTGAAGTACTTTTTGAACTGATAAAGGGTTTGATAAGGGATTTGGAAGGGATTTCTACAGATGAGGTCAACACGACGCATTACGCTATTTTCAGAGCCTATTTGTCATTGTATTTTTTTAATCAGTTACTTATAGTATGCCTTTTCTTGTATCTTATTTATCGACACTAGCTTGATGAAGAGGATTTTATTGAGGAGCAAAATTCTGTTGCATGCCTCATGCACATGTTGTATAATGATGATCCCGAGGAGATGCTGAAGGTAATGCATCTCTTATATGACTCTGATTTATTGTGTATATTTCATTTATTGTCTAGAAGGTGATGAGGGGAAGGATATGTATAAATATGACGCCAAAAGGGAAGAGTATTGGAAATGAAACTCAACATCTCCTCAACTTCATATGGTGACTTATATAATTTTGACTTGGTTCATCTGGAAACTAGGGCTTCATGCACTACTAATTGTATACTTAAGTTTGTCATAAGTATAACACCTATACTCTATGATGTACTGTATGTATTTCTGAATGTATGCTCTTGTCCTTTTGTATTATCATGGTTGCAGTGTTTTATTAGCATATTGTATCCATTGATATGTTCTCAAGTTTTTTTTTTCCCCTTTACTATTTTATCAGATAATCTATAGAGTGTGGAAACACGTAAAGGCTGGAGGTCCAACGCGCCTACCTTTTACGGTTCCTCCTCTTGTGTTTTCTTCCCTCAAGGTAAATTCTTGGAGATGCCTGTATTATTTTCTTATTTGGAACATGAGAGTCCAGATGTAAACGGGGGAAGAGCATTACTTTGCTGAGCTGGATTTTAGTTTACTGTGGACTCCTGAACACTAGTGGAGCCTCTAGCTAACGCTCCTATTAGCCTACTAATATGATCTGTAAAATACGCATATCTTCTAGTACCTAAATAATTTTGTGTACATGCTACTGAAAAATGGATTCTGTCTCCAGCATTCACATCTGTAGAATCTATGCTTGAAAGTAAGACACACCCAAATTTCTTTTACTTGTTTTGGACTATATGTGCCCTTTTGTTGATGATCTTTGCCTGTTGTACAATGATTTTCTATTTTCTAAGTGTTCTGATGTATTTACACGGACACCAAATGGAATTTCTCGGAGAGAGCTGGGTAAAAAGTGAAGAATGATTCGTTTTTGTTAATGATTGCTTGTCTACTTATCGAAACTGTCTCGCTTTGCTGACAAAAAGCTTCCAAACTAAACAATATCAGGCTTTAAAACCTATATATGATTGTGCTTCTGTATTCCTTCTGGGTGTTTATGGACTAGTCTCAATAATCTTGACATCAGTCATTTTAGCATTTTAGGAGTACTTAGATAAAATTAGCCCGTGGAATTCTTTTGCATTTCCCTGATGGAAGAGAATAACCTTAATACTTCTGACACATTCTTGGTGTAGTTGGTGAGACGATTGCACTGCCAAGATGGAGATGTAGCTGGAGAAGAAGTTCCAGCCACTCCAAAGAAAATATTTCAGCTCCTGAATCAGGTAATAAAGACCAAACTTAGACTTTTTCTGCGAGTACACTTTAGTCATATCTGTCTACAGAATGAGGAGACGTGCTATAATACATTTCTGAATGAGATGATGACTATCATAGGTTCCTAGTGGCAAAATTATTTACTTCCTTCATGCTGCTTATGGAGTAAAACTAATTGCATTTCTGTTCGCTCACTCTTCTATGCCTCTTAGGTAGTAACATTAATTGCTTCCGTGTAGCATAAGCAGTTATAATGCGGGCATAAGTCAGTTATAATGCGGGAAGTGTGCAAGTTCAGATGCTTTTATTTTGTCTTTTTGTACCTTTTAACCGAAGCCACATTGCTTATAGATGTCTTCTTGGATATTCTAGGATTCTTCATCAATATATTCATTCATAATTGTTAATAACTTAATATGAATAATGTTTCCATTATCGCAGATTGTTGAGACTCTTTCTGTTGTCCCATCACCTGAATTGGCATTGAGGCTGTATTTGCAATGTGCAGAGGTAAGAACTCATAACATTATTGGAGCACGGGTAAACAGTGGATTGGGGATAATTATTTAGAAAAGCTACGGATATTGGAAATTAAAAATATCACATATGCTTGAACAAGATTACCTTTTCCTCCATTGCAAAACACCTGCATTATATTTATGTACTGGTTAGACACTGATTATAATGCTTCACAACTAACAATTCACATTTTTTTTTTTTTTTGAAAAACTTGACATTAAATATTTAATTTGCTGTATTGTCTCATAGGCAGCTAATGACTGTGATCTTGAACCAGTGGCTTATGATTTTTTCACCCAGGCGTTTGTGCTTTACGAGGAAGAAGTTGCGGTACATATGGAACATATTTGTCAAGCTGAAATTTATACACTATTTATCACTATTTATTTATCCTATTATTCCACTGAGCATTTATTTCTTATGCTGGACCCGTTTTGTAACACTTTTTTTTACGCTTCTATATTTTCTAGGATTCCAAAGCCCAGGTGACAGCTATACACCTAATAATCGGGACTCTGCAGAGAATGAATGTTTTTGGTGTTGAAAACCGAGATACATTGACTCATAAAGCAACAGGGGTACCTAATCATTATATTTGTACATCACATCATATTATATCATTTCCAAATACCTTCTTCTTACCGTTCCATCACCTCGTTTTCTTTTACTTTCAGTATTCAGCCAAACTTCTAAAAAAACCAGATCAGTGCCGAGCAGTTTATGCCTGTTCGCATCTTTTCTGGGTGGATGATCAGGATGGCATCAAAGATGGAGAGAGGTAATTCGCGCGTAATATGTTTGTGCTTTTGGTTGAAATAATTTATACGGCAATTTGTGTCTAACATTAGGCGTGCTGTGGCTTCTTGTAATCCCACTACAGGGTTCTACTCTGCTTAAAGCGTTCCTTGAGGATTGCAAATGCTGCTCAGCAGATGGCGAATGTCACCAGGGGTAGCAGTGGGCCCGTAACACTCTTCGTTGAAATACTTAACAAGTTAGTTGATATTTAACATATTCAATTTGTGTATATAGAGTGAATCACTTTAGCAAAGCTT